GGGGGGGGGGAATACATACATAATCATTTCAAAATTGGGAGTACCTGAATGTGGATATGCAGGTGGGATGCAGGAAAAATTTCCACATTGATCGAACTCCCCCTAAAACTCCCTTTTCCTTTCAATTTGGTTTCTTTTGGGGGGGGGTTCCACTCAGAAGCAGCCTTTTCCAATTTGGTCCCTTCCAGCTATGCTGAACTACACCTCCCATGATCCCCAGCCCATGTACCAAACAATCATGCTGCTGGTGGTTCCGGGTGATGAGATGCTGGTTCCCAGCACATCTGGATGTCAGATTGGGGAAGGCTGTTTTCATGGGTTCCATAGTTTTCCATTTTCAGCTATTTTGCACTGCATATTGTTTATCTAATTTACTAAAAATCTCTCTGCAGGCCTCCATAACTCAATGGGTCCACCAAAAATTTTTTAAAAGGTGACTTTTGAGTTCTTCCTCACTGGCTCGTTTGAACTGTTCCCTGCTCCACCCCACCCCACCCCCCATTTCTAGGCTAAAAAGCAAGAGGTATACCAAAAAATAACCCCACTTCTTGGTGGGATGGAGTTGGATCGCGTGCTGTACCTGGTCCTCTATAATTTAGTAGCCCCTATAAATAAATTAAAATAAAACAATAAACTGAACAAACTTCAGCATATCTCCAGACCATTCATATCTACATGGATGGGTGACAAACGCATTCATTCATCCCAATCCATTCTGACAGGAGTTCCAGGTACACCAAAAATCCCATGATTTTTCAACTAGTAGAATTGGTTCTTCATTGCAGCCAAGTTTATACGATGGTTTTCAGGAACAGCAGAAGCTTTGGGCCACCCAGACTGGTCACAACAACATTTTGCTCTTCTTCGGCAGAGATCCGTGCACGGAAAAGAAAAGAGAAAGAAAGAAAAATGAAATGAAAGACATATTGTCTTCACTGTGGTCCATTGTTCTGTAACGTTCAGCCAGCAAATTAACACTGCCTCAAAGTTGTAATACATCCACTGCCTGAAACACTTATGTTTCATTAGTAGACTCCAAACACTGAAGAGAATTCTCTTGCTTCTTGAGGAAACGGAGCACAGGTCAGGTTCCTCCAGGCTGGGTCTAAACTCTTGCAGGCCATGGCATGTTGTTCAAGTGGAAAGGGAAGGTTGGCTTGTCCTGTCTCTGCTATTAAAGGATGTTCATGATGGCATTGTAGAGCTGGGTGAGCACCACAAAGTGAACAGGAAGGCAAGAACCGCGATCCTGGGTTGCAGGATTACAAGTGAGCCATGACAATGCATTGTACTGTTCCAGGACAAACCTACACCAAGAGAGAAAAGAAAGGCAGGTTGGAAGAAAGGCCCTGAAGGGATCTTCTCTGATCCTGAGGTTCAGCATGGGAGATCAGATTTCCATACAGCCTTTCAAAGATGAAGTGGCACCTTACCAATCAAGGCTGTTCTGTCTGAAAATACGCTGATCTAATTAAGAAGGCTAATCAGAAAGTCCAGCTATTCAATCCTTTCCTCCTTCAACACTGTTTGACAGAGTAAGAATCAAGATGGAAGAAGTAGCAGGAAAACATGAGTGGACTACAAATGCCTAACCATTTTGTCTGAAGCCCATCCCCACCTTAAAATGTCAAGATTGAGACATGTAATAACCACAGCAAGAACCTTTGAAGACATCCTAACTTTAAAAATAGGGAAACCTTGAATTAATGGATTCCCCCCCACCAAAAAAAAAAAGCCCCAAGCTCTTCCTTTATATTTTGCATACACCCTTCAAAACAGCCAATAAAACTTACAGTGAATGTAGATGTTCCAGAGCAGAAGAGTGGTCAAAGACCAACCCCTTGCATTTCGATCAACACAGAACCAGAAGATCAATTACCTTAGGACGTCTGATGTGGTTTTGGAATCCAAGGGATGGGGAACCCTCTGGGAATTCCGGGCAGGAATGAGTTCTTCTGTCTGTGCTACAGAGATGTGATGATGCAGTGATGCCTATCAGGGAGCAGAAGACAAGATTCATGGGACAAAGCAAATAGCATCCTCCCCTGACCCAAACTGGGACAATTTCCCATGCGGCCACCCACTGGGTAATAGCAAAACCAACCTTTAGAAAGAGGGGGCACTGGTTCTGAGCCTGCGGACAGGAGGACCAGAACCACTGAGGAAGGTTCTCAGCTTTGGCAGTGGAAACGAAGTATCCCAGGGCGAGGGGCTGCTGCTTCAGCTCTTCAGGGGCTTCCCGGGAAAGGAGACGCTCACCTTGGCTCTGAAAAATCAAGGTGAGAAGGGCAATGGAGGTCAGTGCCTGGAGCATGTAGATATCAATGGAGGGAAGGTGTCCCTCATTACCAGATTCTCACCCAACCTGAGACACCATGAACAATGTAGCACATTCTCCTCTATGTCATTGAGTCCAATAACCTAGGGCAGGCAATTGCTCCCAGGATCGAAGGGCAGTTGGCCTGAACTCTGTTCAATGATACAAACACTTCTTGTGTCCAACCAACCAACAGTTGAGGCCAAGTTACACCCCTGTGCAAGTTATCCTGCTCTCTTTCCTACTGTACTGTTGTTTTTATCTGAAGCCCGCAGGACAACACTGAGGAAGACAACAAGTCAACAACTAAGTTTTCATCTGTCTACGAGGGAAGTGTGAATCCATATCATGTCTCTTGTCATGGTGGCGAGGTACCGCTTCCCGTATCACAGGCATAATTATGCTGCATGACAACTGCTGGGAACATTTGTGAGACTGTGGTCATACCCTGCCCGTGCATTTCCCCATAGGTAGCTCTTCGGTTCCACTTGGAGGAGAATGCTAGACTAGAGAAAAGCTTAGATCAGTGTTTCTCAACCTTAGCAACTTTAAGATATGTGGGCTTCAACTCCCAGGATTCCCCAGCCAGCATGCTGGCTAGGGAATTCTGGGAGCTGAAGTCCACATATCTAAAAGTTGCCAAGGTTGAGAAACACTAACTTAGACTGAACCTATGGAGCTATATAGCCACACATTCTTTTGCAGCTAAACAAGGGGATCCCATTCATAATGAAGAAATGCCCCATATAAACAACTAAATTAGTACTAAGGAAAAAAAAAAATCCTCCACCCCACATTTTCTCAGTTACAGCCCTGTCTTTTTTTTTTAAATTCCAAATAAGAAAGGTCCCCATTATTTAAAGACAAAGCATAAAGCAGCCAAGGAAAGAAATGCAGGGGGCTCCTTAATGGCGAACAATCCCGTTTTTGCTGTAATCTGCAAAGGTGCCACCCAAGCAATTGTTACCCTGAAAAAGGAATTGTCCCCAAGAGTGAACTTAAACCCACAGCTACTTAGTATGTGGGTCAAGTTAGGATCCCCCTTTCCTACATCATCATGGTCCCCCCAGTCTCAAAAAACAATCCGCCCAAGAGTTCGAGTGGTTTAAACACCTCGGAAAACTACCAGTGCCTCTTATGGAGGGCTCTGCTCAATCTGATTTGCTTTATTCATGAAATCAGCAGTGACCCATTTGACAGCCTGCGGAACATCAAAAGCAGCCCGCCTGCTTAAAAACACAACAGCATGCCAGAGAAGCAACATTTACTTGCAAATAGGAGCAATCAATTATAAAACCCATGGATGAAGGGGTGCCGTGCCTTGACCCCAGGGGAAAAGATCACACGCTGCTACTTTTGTAAGAACAAAGATTACACCTCAATTACCAGTCTCGTGTTAATGGTTAAACTGGTTTGCTCCAAAGTCATTACCCTAGGAGAGGCCTCATCAGGTTACCAACTCCCTGATTACTCATCTCATTACAACAGAAACTACAGTTGTGCAGAATAACCATACGATGTCAAGAACAGTCTTCAAGGATGGTCACGACTAAACAGACATATCCAATCATCTGTTTACTCAAAAGATTTCAGAGGCTGTGTGTGGAACAGGAAGCTGACAGGTGGTTACAGACAGGCAGACCAACAAAGTTAACACTTCAAGGGGGAACAGAAAGTGTAACTTGTGGACACACATCTCTGACTCTATGTACTTGGATTAACATGAATGTTAGAGATTGGAAACTCAGCCCTCCAGATTGCTTTTTTTCTAAGAACATAGAGATTTGGTTTTGTCCACGGTAATAACCAGGACTGTAGAAGGTTCATATTTGCTACCCCAAAGTAAAATCCATACATCACCCATGTTTAAGAAACTAGCTGTGATGATAAAGTGATTTATTTCCCCCACTTTACTGTTACTGGAAGAAATCCATACATTACAAGGTTTTCCTTTAAAAAACAGCATTTTCTTTGGGATAACCTGAATATAACAATTGCCCAACCCTATTAAGTGCCTTGAAGACTTGCCTGTTCTGGAAGGCACTGGGGGAAAAGACAGAATGCTATACTAACCTATAAAGGTGTGGGAAACTTTTTGGGTGCAGTGGGAACACTATATTGTAGGTATTTACTGTTCCTTGTGGTTTGCATGATTTTAACCTTATTATGGCATGCTGATTATAAGCTGCTCAGTTTGGACTGGCACAGAAATCTGAGTAACTAAGTAAATGTTTACTGTTGTCAGGCAGTATGCAAATTCACATATGCATGAATTATCAAGCATGATCAGAATATTCCTATTAACTTTACTGTCATCCTCCATTCATTTAGGAGCAGCAAAACATTTTTCCTGACGAAGAGGCTTTCCAATGTTTGCTGCTGCTATCATGTTTAACATGTACCACCCACACATTTTCAAGGCAAAGAATAAAGGACATGCATAAGAACTACAGAAAGGGACTCTGTCCCATCTTTTGACATTATGCTAAGATTTTTACATTTATAAACCCTTTCCTTCTCAATTTACATTTTAAATCAGCTTTGACATTGGCACCAACTCCTTAAAAGCCACTTTCAGGGAAAATTTGAAAAAAACCAACTTGCTGATCTGCAAGCGCCTCGGGCTAAGAAAACAAAATTTGCATTAAGATGGTAGCACCTGCAGAGTTAGCGCTCTGAACTATACAATGTTATCACGAGCAAAAATTCTCTCTTGAAGAAATCTACGGAATCTTAAATTTATCCTGCTTTGAAAATGAACTCCTTAATGTAGATTACGCGGGTGGGGGAATAAGGGGAGAACCACCACGTTCAACATCAAAACTATTTTTTTCCTCCAAAAGAACAGCAGTTCTTGTAAAGCTTTTCTCAACTGCGTATCTTTTGCGTGGCTGGAATTACAACCTCCACCACTATCACTAAGTCAAAAGATGCCCCTCCCCAAAGGGGGGGAAAAACAGCAGTTTTTCAGAAGCTGGAAATAGCAAAGATTTCTGAGCATTATCTGGCATGGAGATTATGAGCACTTACCCGGCTGTGCTGAAAGGAGGGTCCTACTCCAATTCCAGGAGAACCAGGAGAAGGGACAGGAGAAGAATTTGGGGATGAGTGAAGGTTCCCAGTCATCAGGATGCCAATGTCATTGTCCATGTCATCCGGGAATGGGAGGTCAAACATGTCATCTCAAAGAGGAAAGAAGAGCAAAAGAAGAGATCAGTATTATTAGTTTGTATGTGCTGTGTCTGTGTCTGTGTGTGTGCGTGTGTAAGTCAAGCTTGACTCCTGGCAACTGCCTGGACAAGTCCCTGCAATTTTCTTGGCAACATTTTCAGAGGTGGCTTGCCTTTGTCTTCTTCTTGTTAGGGATGAGAGAGAAGGACTGCCCCAGGGTCCTCCAGCTGGCTTTGCGCCTACAGTGGGACTAGAACTCACAGTACGCTAGCTCCTAGCCTGTTGCCTTTAACTACTACATAATATCCATACCTGTTGTTATTTTATCCAAGGAAAAGTTCTGAAAACCAGGGTCTAGATAGACCTGTTTCTACTTCTGCTAAACAATAGGTGCTGGCTGTGGCTGAAATTAGCCTCAAAAGTATCCCTAGAAACTGAATTAGAAACCTAACCTGTGAGTCAGCACCTAAGATGACATTTGCCAATAACTAATTTACTCCCAGGTGAATGCTACAAAGTGTTACCAAGCTGTAACATCTATATCCAAACTTTTCTGTGTCCAAATACTCTGGATTTCTATTTATGGCTATTTTTGAATGGAATCCAATTTCCAAGTCAGGTACTGTAATGCATTGCAATGATTATTTCAGATAAAGGAAATTTTCTAACTGAATGAAAGTGAGGGGGAAGGGCCTTTAGGGGAGAGGGAGGAATTCAAAAACCATTTATTTATTTATATAGATCAAATCTGTCACTGCCCCTCTCGTTAAAAAGCGACTCTGAGTGGTTTACAGAGAAGGTAAAATCAATTAAAATACAATTAAAAACAGTCTTTAAAACTATGGAAGTTTGTGCCAGTTCTTTTGCAAACCAGCAACTGCAGCCCAAAACATGTTTGACATCAGTTTGCAACAGAGACAAGAACTTTTTGGACGACATCAAATTAAAATTTTTATTACATATTTTTGACTACTTTTTTTCATGGCTATTTCTAAGGTCCTTCTTTTCTTATCCCCTCCCGAAGGCGGCGGCAGCAGCAGCAGCAGCCTAGAGATTTAGCCAAGTTTATTAAGCTGGCATCCTATGTACTCATGCTTTACAAATCTTAACAACGGCTACGCTTGGCATCACCCCCAAGGTAGAAGCAAGAAAACTAATAGCTTTAGAAGCTTTTATTATTTTTTTTAATAATTAAACACAGAAAAATGAGTTGAGAAAATTAAATCTAACACCCTGTTGGAAAACACAAGCCATTGGACATTACTCCAATTAGCACACAAAGCCCTAAAGGCCCAAGTTAATGCAGGTTAAATATTTGTCAGCCTAGAGTTTAAGATGGGGATTTGGAGGCCAAGAAGAGACAGCAGCACGTATGGATTAAGAGGAAGTCCACTTTGTAAGGCCCACTGAATTCCAGCAATAGATCAAAGAGAAAGAAAGAAAGAAAGAAAGAAAGAAAGAAAGAAAGAAAGAAAGAAAGAAAGAAAGAAAGAAAGA